CTCCCAGCAGACCAGGGAGACGTGGAGCATCTTTTCTCGCCCCGGAGGCCGCGGGCGGCGGGACCTTGGCGCGTCTGGGCGGTCCCGCCACCCACATCCTCCGGGGCGGGAAAAGCCCCATTCGTAAGTATGGATCCAACGTAAGTAGGATCCGCGTAACTTGGGGACTGCCTGTACTCTTGATACTTCCTTGTAGAGAATTATCAAAATAAGGACAATCTTCATTTACCATTGCAATACCCTTCTGATATGTCTTTATTTTGGTAGCTATCCACAAGGAAAAGCCTCATTTACCATTGCAATACCCTTTTGATATGTCCTTACTGGTTGCTAACAGGTCACCCAGCTTGCTGATTTTTTACACTTCACTGGCCCATGTTACACCTTCAAAATTGCTTAATGCACCCAATCCATATGCAGGTTGAAACATGAGTGCTTTTAGCTTTATACTCAAGGGCTCAAGAAATGTTAAGAAGGGTACTATAGAGAACTGTAATTCTGAATAAATGAATAACATTATGTTCTTTATAGAAAAAGATTTAAGGTATAATTTCTGCAGTATGACTAGGTTGCAGTCAGCATATGTCAGACACAGTCTCTGTGGGTTTGAACACTGGAGACCAGATTCATCCCTGTGAGGACACTAGTGTAGGCAAAGGATGAGGAGAGCGGGGGTTTGTATCTTCTCTATTCTGGGATTGCGAGAGGCCAGGGTGAACCCTGATGCAGGCTAACTTGAGCACCTTCTACAGTTGCCCTTTGGGCCATTTCAGGGGTGCAGAATCACTGCTTGTAAAAGCACCCTGTGTATACATCTGCCAACCTTTGATCCACTTGGTTTCTTTTATTTCACACCCTCATTCTTCAGTGTGTGCCTCTTGTGATGTAGAGCTGACTAATCATCTGGTTGTAGAGGCCCATGGCACCAGAGGTGCTCTGAGAGTGAATTAGGCATTTGCTACAGCCCCATTGTGCCAGTTAGTCTGAGCCAAAGGCAGTTCCTCTGATTTATTCTGGAAATATTTGTGAAATTAGTTTACCAGAATTCAATTTCTTGGCTGATTTCTTGCAGCTCCTTAACAGTCTACCAATCAAACCCGTCTCTGCGTGGCACAATGGGACAAGGTCTGTCCTCAGTTGCACACTTGTGTCTCTCATTGAAGACAGATTTGAACGGCTTAATTGGGAGTGACTTATACATCTGAATGGAAAGTCTGATCCCATGCGTTGAATTTCTGCTGTTCATTGTCAGATATCTGTATCTATCTAAGAGGCTATAAGATGCAGCATTAAGATTCTCATTTTTTTACAGGAATTTGCAGACTTTTAATGCAGCAGTTCTTCGTGATGTCCCACTGTTCCAAACAGAAACAATTTTATCGGCTCCTGAGATAATCCTACATCCTAATGCCAGTGAAATTGACAAAATGAGTGTTCATTGTATCAGAGACTGTGTTGAAGTTACTAAGGTGATTATTGATAAAGATTATTCCGGCCTTGCTTGTTGATATAATGAATTATTCTTCCTTTATGTTTAGATGAGTGCATATGTCAAGGGGGAGATTTTGATCATATTGATTTGAATAAAAACAATCAGTACATTGTTCTATTTTACAAACTGTGCCAATGACAAAGGACCAAACTCAGATCTTCATACAGTTTTTATTCAGGCAGTACTGCCATTGACTTCATCAGGAATTTTGCCTGGGTAAGAACTTTTGGATTTGGCCCTAAGCATCAGCAGGCAATATCATCCAAATACAATAAAGGCTGGACCTCATCCTCCAATGCAGGGGCAAAAGGTAACCTTTTCTGTAGCCACTGACCTTTTCACAAGCAGGAGGGCAAGCTCTTTATCTTGTACTCACAAAAGAGCTTGGAGAGGTGCTTAACTTCTAACCTAAGGAGATATGGTATGTGGCCATAGGTCTGTCCACAATCATAGGATACTCACTGCTTCCTTTGAGAAAAGAAACACAATGGTTTTGTCTACTCTTTAAAGCCCTGGTCATGGCAAGAATACTGGGAGAGGGAAATAGCTAACATAGCACCTAGTGCTACACTGGTGCTCTATAGCATTGTAACTTGCTGCGTTCAGCTGGGAGGTGTTTTTTCACACCATTGAGGAGAAAATTCAGTGCAATAACTTGCCAGTGTAGACAAATGCAATGTTGTAGGAGCTATCCTGCTCTGCACTGATGAACAGACAATACATTAACTCCCTAAAATTTAAATGCAGGTTAGTTCTTCCTTCCACTATCCCACTCCAAAACTCTACCATCTTGCTGAGCCTTACTGACCTGGACTGGCCACTCTGCCTTAGGACATTTTCAGGAGGCAGACTTAAAAACAAACCAACAAATCAAATAACAATGCCTGGAGAATGCATTTGCACTTACTCTGAACTTAATTTTGATCTCAGATACATTGGCTTCCTGTTTTGTAATGCCCATTAGCTAACTTTAAAAGTCCAACATACCTGCATACTTCAGATCAGAACTGAGCCATGAGTAATTTAGGATAGCAATCTTCTACTTACTGGCAAATCACTGTGGCTAATTTCCCTCACCCCAATTAATACTTTTTTTTATATTGAAACACCAGCATTTTGTACGTTGGATGCATGGCACCTGTATTGACTGCCCCCCTCAGCATGCTGAAGAAGATGAACTCGTCACTTTGAGTTTTTTTAATGACATCTCTCAGAACCCGTTAATAATTGAACAGGCTGTTCTCATCACTCAAAACATACACAAGCTTCTGAATTCTCTCTCCAAGTACTTGAATCGTTGGAAGAGATATCGCCCTCTTTGGAAATTAGATAAAGCCATTGTTATGGAGAAGTTTGCTGCAAGGAAACCAGCCTGTGTCACCTTTGATGAAAAGTTGCAGTTCTATATTAAGATAGCTCAGGAAGTGACTCAACAACCCTTGATGAAAGATGAACAGTGCATTAGGCTTAATGTGGGCCCTTTAGCCTATACAGTACAGGAAAATGCAAAAGGTTGGGTGAATTCTCTTGGAAAACTTCTCAATGAATCTGCAAAAGAGGAACTCTTCAATCTTCAAGAAGAAATTGAGGTAGATTTTTTTTTTTTTTTGGTCCTAATAGTAGTAAGTTTTTTCTAACCAGCCCTCAATAGTGCTGCATAGTTGTATGATCTAAACCTCCTGTTTTTTGAGGGGGAAAAAAATCTCAGTAGACATTAGTTCATCTTTATCAACAGTTAATTAACTACTAACTAAAATATATGCAGATTATTTAACTATTTTATGTGGACTTAGTTTATAGAATTGTACTTAATTGTCTATGCTTTTGCCTGATTATTTTCTTAATACTGTTACTGAAAGTTGATTTTCTTTTTTAGAGATTATCACAGAATCTTAGGAAAACTCCCGATTCTTTGGAAGATCTCAAATTTGTCCTTGCTACAATTGCAGAGATAAAAGATATGTCTTTACAGGTAGAATTAAAATATTTAGACATTCAGGAGAGATACCGTACCCTTGCAGTATACAACATTCCGGTAAGTGAATTTATGTCTAATCTCTTAGATATTTCATACTTATGCATCAGACTCAACCATATTTCATCTAAACAGATTAAGTTTAATTAAACTTTTTTGAATTAACAGAATCAAAAAGTAATACTTTCACATTGTTAATCCCGGACTGAAATTTACAAGATTGCTCTACATTTGTTTATCTCCGTTTGAGGTTATTTAAATAATGTTTTTATCTATTTCATAATTGAGGACCTGATCATGTAACCCTTACTTTCAAAGTGAGTAATTCCTATTTGTGGTGTATTTCCACAGAAGTCAGTGGTACCATTGATTGGGGGAAATCCAAGCCATTCACATAGCGCTTGAGGGTGTGGGCTTTATGCAGAATGGAGGCTCGATTCAAATCTTATTGAAATCAATATATAGATATTGTATACATAAATAGTGCATAATTTATCCACCACAATCCATGAAAAACGTGCTTGTCTAAAAGACTTTCCTTCTCTTCAGTATTGAAGCTCTTAGATATTTTTTATAGGCTTTGGATCAGGCCCTGAGTGCAGTGCAGTTTAGGAGGTGAAATTCACTACTCTGATTCAAGGTTAATGAGCAGGCATTGACTTTGAACTTCTCTCTCATACCTTCTTTGCTTTTCCCAAAGCTGCAGGTCTCTGTGGTAGTTGTATTGATGTTGAAACCACAAGATCTGTCAAAATGCCCCTTTCATAACCCTGTCCTGGTGCACTTGCATCATACCCTTATACCTTAGTCTGTGTGATTCTGGTGAGAAGTTCCTTGCCCTGGTGTGTATGTATTACCTTATTCAAGCATACCCACTGTACTTCTATGGAAGGTTTTCATGATCTGGAAGGTTTTGTGCTGCCTTTGCATGTGGGTCAATTTCATCCTTTTTCAGGATTCTTCACATGAGTACCAATTGCAGGATGTTTGTATTCATATGTATGTTCTCTTTAGACAACTGAAGAAGAGAGAGGAATGGTTGATAATATTAAGAAAAAGTGGGAGACCCTCTTATTTGATGCATCAGAAGTTGATCACAGCCTGGGAAGCATAAAAAAGACATTCACGGAGGTAATATTTTTACCTTACATGTTTAAAATACATTTAGAAAAAAAAGGAAAAATCCTAATTCAAACAATATTTCCATTAGATTACGAGGGAGCAGATTGGAGACTACAGTAGCCAGATAGCAGATTTTTTCCACAGATTTACTACTGAAGGGCCTGGTGCCGTTGGAGAGAATCTTGACAAAGGTAAAAAAACGGATGTTTCTGTTGCTACATCTTAAAGTAGTCTAAAGACTGATACACTTGAAAATAGAAATGAATGGACTTTCAGAATGTTTTTCCCTCTCAAAATACAGGCTGTATGTCATTTGAAGAAATATAATTTGTGTAGATATATGCAAAATTATACTATTTATCCATCATTGTAGTAAATTCAAGGCCTAAAGCATAAGCTGCAGCCCTGGATGAGGACTGAAGACTGGCCAGCAACAGTCAAGACTTTGCTAATATAAAGCAAGGTTAAGCTGCGAGCAAGAGGCAGGGCCTGCTCGCAGAACTTGTCAGAAATAGGGCTGATAGTGCAGAAACACTAATTGGTACTAAGCACAGGTTATACGCACATTCTAGAGGGATGCTAACAACACCTTGTTAAGAAGCATCTTGGTATCAACACGTATCCTACAGATAACATAGCCATACCAACTTAGGTTCAGGATGGGTTCTAAAATGACAACATGACAGATAGAGAGGTTTTGATCAACTTACAATGTACAAGGCAATGGGTGGTATCTAGGTAACATCAGAGGATGGCAACCTAACATATCAGAACTGATATATCACCTGTTTATACCTATGTATAAAAGGTACCCTAAAAGGGTTGTTTTTGTCTGGCCTAAGGGGCAACAAAGAATCCCTCCATTGGCTGAGCTGGTCCATTGTCAGGTAGTACATATGAGCAGGATTGACAGACTATAGAATCTACTCGCCTGTGGCAAGTAGATTTCAGCCACACGCCTGTTTACCGGGGGCGTGTGCATGCGCAATGCAGCTCTTGCACATGCGCAGTGCGGGGCTGGCGAGCGGCTTTTGCCACCGTTTATCAAGCCCTGCATATGAGTAATGGTTTGGTAAAGTTTTCTGACAACTATTACTGTACTTCATTTGATAATAAACTTGGCTTGGGTATTTTTATCCCTTATTTGATTTTGTGGTCTTTGGGCGCTCTCTTGGAGTGTGCTGTACAGGCTACCTGTGCAGAGCCAGCATAGCATATAGGGAAAGTGCGTGCACACACACACACGCATACACCGCACACACACATACACAGCTGAATAGTTGTCATCACTGAACAGAGGAAAATATCTGTCAGGCCACTATACCATTGACTTCTGACCACAATCGTAACCTCTGAAAAGTATTTATTTACTTTCCTTCTATTTATAGGTTTGGAGCTCTTAGATGTTTTTGACAAAGAACTGGAAACACATGAGAAGAATCGTCAGGAATTGGCTAATGCTGAGAAACTTTTTGACCTTCCAATCACAATGTACCCTGACTTACTAAAAATGCAGAAGGATATGAAGGGTCTAAAGCAGATCTATGAAATTTATAAATTACAAAGAGTAAGTGTTCTATAAAATATGTATAATATAAAGCTTCCCTTTTATTGACTTTTACTGTAGTCAAATCTCTTCCTATCCATTTGTCTTTAATAAGTTGTGATTGTTTTATCCTTCTGACTACCAGTATATAGAACACTAAAAGCCTGAACAGTATTTGAGTTATTTTTACTGATCTGGGACATATAATATTGTAGTTAGAGACAGATTCTAATGTCTTTATTCATTCTGGTTGGTGTGTTACTCCCCAAGCAGGGTCATTGACTTCAGTAGGACTGCTCTTGTGGTTAGGTACAGTGCTCGTTGTGAGTGGCTGTATCTCAGACTGACTTTAATTGGTCTTTGAAAGAGGTTTGTTTGTTTGTAAGGATTTTGTAATAATTAAAATCTTAAAATTAAAAGCCAGACTATATTTCTGCAGAGTGGGTTTTTATTACTAGAGCCCTGCAAATCAGGGGATATCTGCTTTTTATCCGCTTCTGTGGATATGGATGCAGATATCTGCAGCTATGGATGCAGATATCTGCAGTTATGGCTGCAGATGTGATTACACATTTTGTCTGTGTAGAATCTTGCATTTTTGTAGATATCTGCTTTATATATGTGGGTATCCACATCTATGGGCATGGATATGTTTATCCACAGCTCATTTTCGAGGATACAGATGTGGATATGGCTACAAATTTTTATCTATACTGGGCTCTGCATAGGCATCTGGTAGCTTAGGCAGTGTAAAACTTCGCCTTCCAAAACTGCCAGGCATGGCCACCCCCACATTCTGCCCCCAGAACACCTGCTGTGGGCATTCTGGGGGCAGAGTGTTGCTGCCCCCAGTGCCTGCCCTCCAGCATGATCCTGCTGGATAGGCTGGAACCGTGGGGCCCTGATGCTCCATGGAGGTGGGGGAGCCACACCATGTGCATATACCCTTTTGTCTCTCTTCCCTTCCCCGATGCTCCAGGGAGACTGGGGCAGGCTCTGTGTGCTGCCTCACCTCTCTTCCCTTCCCCAGTGCTCTGGGGAGGCTGGGAGGTGCTTGGCATGCTGCCCCCCATTCCCGCTGTGGGGTGGGGCCTCAGCAGAGGGGGTGGGGCTTTAGGTGCTGCACCAACCATTCATGTTCTACTTACTACTGCTTACCCTGTTAGTCTTTGGGCTATAATCTTATTGAGGCAGGGAACTGCTTTGTGTGCTGTTTGCAATATGTTGTTCACATTTGGGCCCAAATGCTGACTTGGCCGCTGAATACCATTGCAGTAAAAATAATAAATATTTTGTCACGTTCCTTTCATAGTAATTTAAAAATAAATAGTATAAATGTTTCTAGGCTGCTAAAGAGGAATGGTCACAGACTCTCTGGATAAATCTCAATGTGCAGTTTCTCCAAGAGGGTATTGAAGGATTTCTTAAAAGTCTCCGAAAGCTGCCTAGGCAAGTGCGCAGTGTGCCAGTGGCTTATCACCTGGAAGCAAAGATGAAGGCATTCAAGGACTCCATTCCTTTGCTGCTTGATTTGAAAAATGAAGCATTGAGAGAAAGGTTTGATCCAGTTTGTTTAAGGAATTTTGTATGTGTGTGATGACATTCATTTTTGTTCGTTAAAATTGTTAATTTTGGATGTTGAAATCATGTGAACGTTTTGAATATTATGGACCATAGTAATTAATATTCAGTTACACTGCTTGCATAAAATGATGCAATATGTGTAAATATTGTGTGTGTTTTATGTAAAATATGAACTCTCATTTAAATATGAAATAGAATTTTAAGTATAATTCTAGACTATATTGAGCACAGAACTTTTACTATACATTGGTTGACAGTCATTTTCACATTTATTGTGTCATAGTTCCTGACAAAATGAACAAAACCAAAATCCTAGATACTCAGGATCTCAGACAAGCCACTAAATTCATGTATGAAAAATGTGGCCATGTGGTTATCTCACTTGCATTGGCAGCTAGGTAACTGATCAAGCAAATGTGATGGTTCCACCTAATGAGTTATCTATACGGTGCATTCAAATGAGCATGTTCAAATGAACATGTTATTATAGGTATTATAGCTACTTACCTATAGTGTCTCATGTTAGTAGTTGTGATCTGGAATGCTAGAAGTACTACTGTAATCTGACAACCTCTGATTGTACTTAGTTCAGTGCTGGCAAGGCTACTTGCTGATTCCTTATGTTTGATCTCAAGCAGAGAGAGCTGAGACCTGATCAAATAAATGCTTCTCCTTCCTATCACCAGCTTCCCTAACATTCAAACCACCCAACATGATCCCCCTTTCCCT